GTTACAGACTGAGAGCCAGAGCAGGGTGCGGGGCGGGAACGCTCCTGCTTCCGCTCCCGCGTCTCCCTCCTCTGCCCTCCTCGCACCTCTTTAGTTGGCTTTTAGTAGGAAAACGATGTATTGAGAACTAAATTGCGAATGGCGGGCAGGCCTAATCCCTCGTTACACATTAGCACCAAGTTTGCAATTGAGTATAAGGAGTGCCCCCGGAAACGAATTTCAGCCTCTCCCTAGGAACAAAGAACTGAGAAGCCCCGGAAGATCGGGAGCGTCGGGGTTCAGGGGCCCCTCGTGTGCCCCTGGTTTAGGGTCCTCCACCTGCACCTCTGTTGTAGAGCGGGGGCCGTGCGGGTTCTCACTGCAGATTCAAACCCGGCGCGCCTCCCCCCTTCATGGGAAATACGTGATTTTCTGTGGACTTTTCCGCCTGCTCTCATTGCCATTTCCCAGCGACAGGCACCTGCCTGTGGCCTGCGCGGCGGGACAGAAGGAGAGGCCACCGTGGTCTTCGTCTCCCTGCGTCTCCCGCCCTGCTCCGGGGCGGACTCCGCAGCCCCAGTGGTGTCGTGAGCCTCGGACGCTCCCGCTTTCGGCTCTGCGGGGACGCTGACCCCCCGGCGCCTCTGCCGATCTGCTCATTTTCGGGGATCGGGCAAAGGAGCTGTCGAATTTTGTGCCCGAGAACGGACGCCAGGCTGGACGGGGCTCAGCGGGCAGAGCCGGCCGGGGAACGCCGGGTCACGGGCGCGGGTCCCCGCCCCCGCCAGCCACCCGAACACGTGTAGAAGCCCGGACTGAGCTAGGGTGCGTTCTGAGTTCACCAGATGGCACATTTCAGGGCACCTCCTCGTCATTTTGTACACTTCTGGGGGAACCTCCCAGTCTCCTCCCCTCACCGAGAAAAACAACAGAAAAGAAAGCACGATCATTCTTAGTTAAACTTTTCATTTATTATCTCTCTTACTATTGTCGTTATTATATCGCTCTTTATACCGGAATTGTGGCAGAGGGCAATTAATTTTAGAGAAAGCGAAGAAAGGTAGGAAGGTTGCTTTAATTTTTCCCACACCTGGCTCGAGGGGAAATTCACACAGATTTCAAGTTTATGAAACAGGCGCCGAATCTTGACCACGGTGGCCAGCAGCAGCAGGTCTTCCCCGCTCAGGTGTCGGAGGGTCGGGATCTCCTCGGGGTGTGGCAGCTTCAGCAAAGAGAGAGAAGAGAAGCTCAGAGGCGGGACGGGGGACTGTGGAAGCGGGG